GCAAAATGTTATTGTAGTCAGAATATGGGTGGCCTATTGTTACGTTTGTATTTCTCAGATAGCTGATTGGCTTAACTGTCAGCGTGACAAGACATACAGCAAGCTATAAAATTTCTTTTGTTTATAGTGTAGTTGCTGATTGCGTGCTTGTTGTGAGAATATTAAACCGCCGATATGACACTGTACTACCCAAATTTATTCTACCAAAACTTGTATCCAGTTGTTAGATGTTTCCTAATTTTGATTCATCTCATCACATGATATAACTCATATTTTAACCGCAACCAGACCCGATAAGCCATGATTATAAAGCCCTGTCGACCTTAAACGAGAAGCTATTTTTCAGATCTGTTATTGTCGTAGTAAGTATAGTTAATATCTACTAAAAAATGAAGAACTCATATAAACACTGGACATATGATATTTCAACATGCAGTTTCTAAATTCAACATTCATCAGTACTTCATTAAACTAACCAGCAATAAGATGGCAACGATCCTTTAATTTACATTACAAACCGTTGTTGAATACAACGTAAATCTTTCACAGTGAAATTTTATGTCGGTTAAACACTGCGAAATCACAGAGTACGTACCCTTATTACTCTGCGAATCATTCTGCAAAATACTAAATTCGAAAGTAGGCCAGATTAAGGGTTATACCTCAAGGTTTTGCCAGTCTCTCGATGCTAATAGGTGAATTTCATCGAAAGATTCTGTCGCGTGGTTAGCACTCCTGCGTGCAAACGCCGAGCCGGAGACCGGCTGTCCTGACTGAGGGTTTTGTAGTATTTCTCATTTTCTCCACGTAAATGTTGGGATACTGCCCAAAATTAGACCAGATCATTTTATTCCATATACTCTCCAAATCATTCGAAGTTATAAATACATCTTCTGACAGCGTCTTTATGCAGATCATATAGAGTAGATATAGTAAGTTGAAACAGCGTCTTCCGTACTGTCAGAAGCTATAATTGAAACAAACAAAAGAACTTAGACTTCTGTTTTTGTTTTAAATTAAAGTCTGTTGGTATTCTTGGACGGAAGTGAGGAATATTTTGTTGTAAGGTTGTTGTTGTGATTCTGAGTTTATTTTTGATCTAATAATTGTTCCCGAACGACAAAATTTGGCGAAAAATTTGTCCGTATAGAGTGTGGGCCATCAGGTTTTCGGATACAGAGCGTACTCAGCGTACATTTATATATCCTTCATGATGTAATTACTGCAGCAGCCCCACTGCTTGTTCAAACTAATTGTCCCATGCAGCTAATGTGATGACGTCTGCCGGCCGCCAGCCCATGTGTGTGTGTATACTGTGCCAGAGTATTTTTAGTGTGTGCATTGGACCTACACACTACTCATACCTCTCGCTCTCTCATACCGCATCCTACATATCCAAAAACAAAACACACACAAAAAACCTCGCGCGCGCACACACATATATATATACATACCGGCTATTTTTCAAAGGACAATAGCCTAGTCGCAAAAGTTGGCACAAATTGGAATGTTAATGGGAAGCGGGAATGTGAACAGCAGTGACCCCTGTATGTATGCAGCCCGCAGGTTGTTGATAGCAGAGCGAGGGTGGTCGAAGAGGGGAAAGGGAAATTTAGGCTCTAGGCCAAATACCAACTCGTGCATGGCTGACCGTACGGGCGAATAATATCCAGACTTGATGCATTGAGTGATGAAAGGTAGGGTGAGGTGGGTGGGGGGGAGGAGGATGAGCATCACTAGGAATATGTGAAATTATAATAATTAAATACCGGTAAGTGAACAAAATATAGCATCAAGAGAAATAATGGTCTGCTGTATGCAGTAGGGAATTTGATTTTTATTAAATGAAAAGTCATTAGTGCTACTAATTAAATGACGTTTCTATTGGAATTCAATTTCGAAACTTTAAAAAGGCGCGCAAACAAGCATGCGCGATGTCTCTGGGAACTGCCAGACAGTGAGATAACTGGTAGGTTTATTGGGTTGAATTTTCATTTTCGCAGATTTATACGTCAAAATCAATTGTGTATTCAAAAATTCTTTTACAACTTTATATAAAATTATTCCAACTCATTTTTCGCTATTATTGTGAGAATTATTATTAATTTCGTGGATATGAAGCTGCACATAACCAAATTCAAATGTGAAATGGGACTATGATACCTCAATGTCATTACGAAGAAAACAAACAAATATAATAGTTAATCAGCATTTTGTATACATTTTAATGTAATTATAAAGTGGAAATTGTATTATGTTGGCAGTTATGGTTTATTAGCGAGCTTTTGTGAATTTGACAACGAGCATTAAAGTTCTATAAAGAAGGGGGATTTATTGATCAACTGAGCGACTATTAGATTTTCAAAGAAGACTTCACCATCGAGTAGTTCGTGTTTGTTAGAGTACGTTCTCAAACTGTGTTCAATAAAACACAAAGTGATATTTCAGGTTCTCATGACATCGAGTATGACTTATGGGTTGTTGCCTATGCCATCAAGGCAATTATCTAGGAAGGAAGCACCCCTGAAACGTCGGTAAACATCTATTAGTCTGCACGGCATGACAACCGATACTCGCCGCCATTAGAACCTGAAATCTTAGCATGTGCATAAATTAATCATTGATCGAGTTTCTCGCATCCTTCCGATCGATTTTGTACCTACGTTTATGAGTAGTCTATCTGAAATTATCATAAAATGCCATCAAAGAAACCATTTACTTGTAATGATCCCTCAGTAACTATTTAGGACAATTTATGATTTGAGGTTTTCACAGCGGTGATTTCTGTCTTCTGGGTTGTTGCGCCGTGTAGTCTGGTAGAATTTCCACCGACGTTTCAGAGGTCATACTGCCTCCGTCATCAGGGCGATTCTTAGTATGAAGATTTCTGTCTTCTGGGTTGTTGCGCTGTGTAGTCTGGTCGATGTTAACCAACGTTTCAGAGGTCATACTGCCTCCGTCATCAGGGCGATGAATGTGGCAATCTTTTGTAGACCGGTATTCCTGTAAACCAGGGGTGCCAACCCGCGGCCCGCGGGCCGCATGTGGCCCGCCTTGAACATTTTTCCGGCCCGCGAGATTCATCACACTTTTACAAAATATATTTATTTTATAATGGCCAAAGTAGT